CCATTAACACATTATCAGCTTGTGGAGCCTGACTTATCTGGCCTTGAGCGGCTGTGTTTCTGATGCACACGAGCGCTGCTGCATGTGGATTTCACAGCTTATCTGCAGCGCAGAGCAGAACCACAGCCACTGACACTGCTTCAGTTTCTCTGAGATCAATCAGCGGTTAACAACAGCACTGCGGCGCTCGCATGAACAGACAGACCTCATGCACACATACGCACAGCTGATTCGTTTGGTCCTGGTAACACACACAGTACTACACGCCTGATTGATTACATCATCACAAAATCATCACAGCTCTGATCTGATAAATGCGACTATAAGTAGTATATTAATATATTATAAACATTAACATCATGATTTTCTGTAAAGCTGCTTCATAACAGTGTGTGAAAACCACTTTACAAATACATTTGTCATGTGAGCAGTAAAGCCACACAAACGTGATGTTTCATGCGTCTGACGTGCGATTGCTCTTTCGCAGCATTAGTGTCTGTTCATGAAGCGACAGCTGATTTTTCTTTCCATAAATCTCATGAATCTGTGTGCTCGGGTCAAGCGACTGGGGAAAACGCTTTCCACATATTACATCATCTTCCTGCTGGTTTATATATAAATGTATATTTAATTAACTAACGCTCACCTGACATTTGTCTGCAGGCGAATCCTGAGGCTGTCAAAATTAGCATAAATGATACGCTGACGTGAGTTACTAATGTGATGCTCTTCATCTGAAACCACTTTAAACAGCACTCTGATATTCTTATATGTAATTGGCATTATACAAGCAGCTGTAGTGAGCTTATGGATATAGATTAATGGAGAGACTACATGTCACGATCTGCCTACTGTTTTGGAGCGAGGTGACGTGGGAGAATTAACGAAGAGTCTTTAATGAACCAAAACAGGGTAACACACGTAGCACATGGAGTTGACGTATAACACCGAACGCAGGACACAGGAAAACACAGGGCTTAAGTAACAGGAACTCAACGAGGTAATTACTAAGACACACCTGAACTAAATGGACACAATCAAACACGGGAGAAACTGGGTCACAGGGTGAACATGGGAAGCAAAACACAAGACAGGAACACAGGTCTGACATTACCTCCCCCTCCCGGAAGGTTGAGTCAACGAGCCTCATAACTTCCAACGGGGTGGGGGGTGGTAGCTCTGGAAGCCTTTAGGGACAGGATTACACGGGATGGAAGGCCTCCAGAGCGGTACCGGTTCCGGGACCCGTGGCGGATCAGGCAGCTCAAGGGGCCATAGCCTCGGCACTCGTCCCGGCCTCTATGGCCGGAGCCCTATAGCCCATCCCCCCACCCCCCCGGGCCCTCCCTGCGCTTGACTCGGGAACTGTGGCCCTCCCTGGGCCAGACGTGTGAACATTGGCCCACTCTGGGCCGGACTTGGGAACAGGAGCCCTCTCTGGGCCGGACGTGGGAACAGGAGCCCTCTCTGGGCTGGACGTGGGAACTGGAGCCCTCTCTGGGCTT